AGCCAATATTAAACTGAAAAACAGTGAGGTTAGTAAAACAAGAAATTAAACTAAGTAAACAAAAAATAAAATGAGCTCAAGCACAGACTGAGAGATGCATTTCAACATATAGTCTAACAAAAATGCTAAGATGTTAGAATGAAACAGGCCTAGCAATAAGTTAACAGTAAAGAACCATTAGTGCATGTAGGGAGAATAATTTAACATACATAATGTCTCATCTTCATAGGAGCACACTGGAAAAGGTATTTCAATGTATATTATATGAGAAGATACCAGAAACAACAATTAAATGCCAGCTTTTTTATGAAGAGTCACAAAATCAGAAACTTCCCCAGTCCTCTGTTTAAGTCTCTACTTTTTTTTTTTTAATTATTTTTATTTTGTGTGTATGAGTGTATTGCCTGCATGTATGTGAGTGCACCTGTATTGTGCAATGCCTCAGAGGTCAGAAGAGGGCTTCGGATTCCCCTGGAACTGGAGTTAAGGATGGTTTGTAGCCGCCATGTGGGTGTTGGAAATCGAACACGGGTCCTCTCCTAGAGCAATTAGCGCTCTTAACTGGTGAGCCATCTCTCCAGCCCTTAAGTCTCTACATTTTACAGTTACTGTGAAGTAATTAAGACAAAGCTAAAACAACCACTAACTGCATCAAAGAAAAGCATTTAAGGCTGGGGATGCAGTTCAGAGGAAAAGCATTTGCCTAGTATGCAAGAGGCTCTGAGTTCAATCCCCAGCACCACAAAAAACAAAATTAAACCATAGATTTCAACAAGTGTTTAATGTAATTTATGGTACTAATCTAGTACTGTCATTAGGAAATAATCTCATAATACCTGAAATCAATTTATGAAGCTAACAAAATTACAAATCCCTCATAGAAACCAAATATTTCATGTTAAATTGCTTATGCTCAAGCTCAATTATCAATGATGAAGTGCTCTTTAGAGTTACAGAGGAAAGAAAACTGTTCTTCATCTTTTCTGACAGAAGAGTAACCTTCAGAAATGATATGCTTGTTTTTATTTCTCTTTAAAGGGACAGTTTCCTCCAAGTTTAGGACAACATTCAAACTACAAAACTGGGCTGAGCAATGTTATTTCACTAGTGGAGGAAAGAGCTCAAGATACTTTTCTTAGGCAGGGTTTCATCTGTCTAGGCTGTTCTTGAACTTGATATACATCCAAGGAAAAATATAAACTTATCTTCCTGCCTCCATTTCCCCTGTGCTGGGATTACAGGTGTGCACCACCGCACCTGGTTTATGTGGTGCTGGAGATTTGAGTCTAAGGCTTCATGCATGCTACATAAGCACTCTACTGATTCAACTACATCCCCAGTCCCCAGGATACTTCTGTTTTTGCTTTTTTTAAACAGGGTCGTCTTATTGTAGCATCTCAGGCTAGCCTGGACCTTGCAATCCTGTCTCAACCTTTCAAGTGGACCACCATGCATGGCTCACCAATTTTTATGGACTCCAAGAATATTTTTGGAAAATCAAAGATGAAAGTGAACAATAATGAAAAGCACTGTTCTTAAAATAAAAGATACTATTGTGAAGCAGGATGTGGAGGCACACACCTTTAATTCCAGCACTTGGGAGGCAAAGGGAGGTGGATCTCTGTGAGTTCGAGGCCAGCCTGGTCTGCAAAGTGAGTTCCAGGCCAGCTGGGGCTACAGGGAGACCCTGTCTCAAAAAGAAA